CTACCTTATCCAGGCTCCTCAGTTTTGTTATATCACTTAGTTCTCACAGGAGAACAAGTTTCCAAAATTTCCCTAGGGTTTTATGCATGTTCTCACTCTCTTTTTCCTGCTGCTTTGCTAATTCATGCTGCTGAAATAATCTTTTCCAACATCTTCCTTATGGGCAGTGCTCTTTGCTGAGCACATCCAAAAAAGCAAGGCACCTTTTGCTTATAAAAAAAATATTTTGGCCTAAAATTGGAGAAAAATAAGTCAGATTTAAGTCAAATTTTTACACCTAGATATTTTTGTGTCTGTTTTTATTCATGAAATATTTTGGGGTCAAATTTTTTCATGTTTTATGAACTGGTCACTTCTTTTTGCTGTCATCTTAATAAAATGGGCCACAATAAAAAAGGGACATCTGCAGCTGGCAATGTCTTCTCCCTTGGGTCTGTTTGTGTTTAATGGTTGTGTCCACATCATGGAAAAGGGTGAGAACTTCCATTTCCCATCCCAGGTGCCTCCTCAGGCTATGTACCAGGGTCAAATCCTTTTCTGACCCAGAGATGGGGCAATTGAGAGGTGTTTTAAAAACTTCTGTTTTCAGTCTTATGTGAAGGCTGAGACAATACAGATGTTACAATTCAACTTATCTTCAAGTTTGTATACAAATACATACTATATAAGCCTTCTATCAAACTTTGAAAATTTTCTACAGATTCATTTCTCGCTTACCATAAAGTGAAAAACATGAGAAACAACCATAGAGGAGGAGACCTCCCTCACATTGCTCATCTTGCAGCTAAATTTTCATGGGGACAAACCAAAGAGTTCACTGCTCGGAAAACCCCTCCTGGCAGCAGCGAGGAATCCATGATAATTTTTTAAAATGCCATTAATGGAACAGAGGAAAACCAAGAATTCTTCAGTCCCTGAGGATCTGTACAGAGGAGAGCAGAAGCAGCTGAGGACTGACTGAAGACATTTCACATCCTCTTGTTCAGCTCCAGAAAATGCAGGAATATCTGCCAGGATCTGGCTCATGGGGAGATGCCCTTTGCAGTCTCCTGGTTTGGCAAGTTGGCATCCTTCCCCTCTGCCTCACCTCTCCACAGAGAACCATGGAATAATCTGGGCTGGAAAGGCCTTTTGCTGGTGTATTTTCCTGTTAAAAGATATTTCTTTTGTGGCCAGTAGAAAGATGCTATATTTATTACCGAGAAAAATATTTTGCATTCCAAGAAGGAGAAGAAGAAAAGCTGTCAGTGAGGTCCCTCTGTGCACAGATTATTTTGATAAGACAGATCTCAGCAGTTCCTATCAAAATCTTTTTTGGCAGAGTAATAAGTTGATATACTTTCTATCCTTAGAAAACAATTCTGCACATCAATAATGCATAAACAGCTGTCCTAACTGAATGCCTCCCTTTACAAGGCCTTCAGCATGTCACTGGTAATTAATATTGAAATGAATATTGGAGCATTTCAATTCCAGGAATGTAAAGTTATGTGGAATCTCATTTGCTTTGAGTCCAAAGGTGTAAATATCTTTGCTGTATCAATGTGGCAATTGGTGATTTTGTTACAAATAACCTTAGAAAGGTTTGGCTTAATTTGTCTGTATTCATTTTTGGGGAAGTACATTGCAAACTTCTCTCTTTTAGTGCTCTTCCTCAGCTTTTGAGGCAGAAAAAGGATTCCTGATTTTTAATGTTATACATTTTTTTCCAGAGGAAAATTCCATGTTTCTATGAGATACACGGGCATCCAAGTATGAAGAATCTTGTGCTTTGCATCAGACAAAAATGAGCACTAGGATTCAAAGTTTTCATTGCTGTTGTTAGCAGCTTTATTTTCTGAGGTTATTGTTTAGGTCTGAAGGAGATTTTGGATGTCAGTGCCCACTGGTGGCAGGGTGCTCAGGTGAAAGATATTCAATGCAACTCAAAGAGATGTTATTCAAAGGCATTTTTCTGGGATATCTCATATATTGCCCTCCCTTGCTGCAATTTTAATATATTTACTTTTCTGCTCCTCTGAGTTCATATTTACAGATGAGGCTGTGAATCAAAGTTATGATGGTGAACATCAACTATTGTAACAGCTTTGTTGTAGAGATTTTTCTCATCCTGAGCTGCTCTGGATGGGAGAAAACCTTCTGAAAGCTGGGGGTGTAACCACATCCTTGTTTCAGACAATTATAGGACACTCTTAAGCCTTCTCCCCTGAATAGTTGAACTAACACCGGCCCCATTCCACCACCAGCCCCATGAGCAAGTATCCAAAGGGAGGACCAGTGTGGCCAAAGGGATTTCTTTGCCTTTTGTTTTCCAGAGGGTTGTACATCTGTGGAAGAAAAGCAGAGAAGAAAGTGGAAATGTCAGGAAGCAAAGCAGGAAATCCAAGAGCTCACAAAAGGACTCGGAACAGAGAGGGTTTTGGGGCTGGTTAGTAAAGAGTATGAACAAAACTTCCCTTCTAGCATTATTTTCATGCTTGTGGTGACTGAGAAAAACAGATTTTGTACATTCATTGGAATTAAATAAGATTACCTTGAGAAATGTTGGGGAAATAACTGTGAAGCAGTTTCCAAATACAAATGGATTTCACTGCTGCTGTTGCTGAGGGAAACAGGAAATAGGAGCAGGGCTTGTAGAAGCCAATATCAGACCTCTATAAAGTGGTGAAACAAAGAGCCAGAAATATCACAGAATTACCAGAGTATAATCTCAGGATGGCAAATTATTGATGGTCAAAGAGAAGGGAAATCCATGCTTAGAAAGTGGAGAAAAAAAGGTGTGAGTAAATTGGGAAACAATTCCTGCCTTTTGGCTTAGTTCTTTGGCATGGGGGAACTGTTTGTGTTTCAAGAACAGCTCTTGCTTTTTACCAAGAGACAGCCACAAAAGTCCCAACACAAACACCAAAGGCCAGGATACTTTACATGAGGTTGGTGAACAGAGCTATGATGGGCTAAAAATTTTTTTAGAACTAAAATTCTGCTCCAGATAAAAATCAAGAAGTCACAGACCAGGGTGTGTATCTTCTGTCTGGAAGCAAGTAAATGAAAATTTTGCCAAAATCCCTCAATTCACTGTCCTTTACCTCATGAAAAGATAATGACTTTCAAGCCTTGTTTGAGTAATGTGTCAGTGAGTGGAAAAGTAAAAATAAATAAATAAATAAATTGCATAATTTTTACAATTTCTGCAGAAAAATGTTTTTTAAAAGTACAAAACTCTGAGGAAATGGTTCTACAAGTGCTAGAAATGGCACAAATGGAAAGATTTTTGCCATGGGAAGGAGGTGAAGGGGATGAAGAAGAGGAACCTTGTAGAGTTTGGGAAAGAGATGGTGCAGAAGAGCAACCTGAAAAGACAATTTTTGGAAGTACACACACCAGCTGCTCCATTCTTGTTCCTACCTTCCAATTGGGCAGCCCTACTGAAAGTGAATTTAAGGGAGAGAACAGAAAGTTAGTACAGCAGATGGTTGGAGAGGGCTGGAGAACTGCTGATCCCAAACTGAGCAGCCTTGGTGAATGGAGAGAAATCAGAGGGGCTGGGAGAGGGAGCTGGACTCCAAAACAATAATCAGTTTGAATTAAGGACAGCAGATCACTGAATCACAGACAGGTTGGTGGATGGGAGCCCTGGAGGGTCCAAGGATCCAAGCAGGGTCATCCAGAGCAGAAGGGAATGAATGAAATTGTGGTGAGCATCCTCTCCTGGCACCAGGGTGAGAACAGCAATAGCTTTGTGCTCTGAAGTTTGTGAAGTTTGCAGAATATCTGGAGCCCCCAAAGAGGTAAAGTTTGCATCTTCCTCAAAAAACACAAAAGAAAAAGTTCCTGTACAATGGAAAGGTGTGGATTCACTCAAGGAACTTTTAAGAGAGGAGATACTTCTTGATGTTTTAATCCTAAGGAGAAAATAGCTCAAATATACTTCCTCCTCTAAGGCATCCACTGTGGTTCTGATCAAAATGAATAAAATGGGATATAAAATACAACTGGGATCATTGTCATGAATAGGATTTCAGGCTGTCAGTGTCTGGGAACTGTGGAATTCAAGGTTGCTAAAAGAATATTAAGCAATGAATGTCTGTAATGAAAAGCATTTCAACAAGAACATTAATGTTTCTTAAAAGATAGAAAAAAAAAAAAAAAAGAAGCCAAATCCCATAGCTATCTCCTTTGAATTGCTGCAATGAGACTGAGCAAAGAAAAATCCTAAGAATGTGGATGAAATTGTTTTAGGTTGATGTGAAAATCATCACTTACCTACAGTAGTTAGAATGACATTGTGTCCAATGAGTTAATTATTTTTTCTTTTGTCTCCCTTCTCCTTTCTTTTACAGTGATAGCATTTTAGGCTTTGCTGGGACAAAAACTAACACGAAATAAGAATTTAATTCATGTGTTAAGCTTAACTTTGTTGTGATTTCCTATGGGAAAATTGTTTAAATAGTATTCCCACAAGCATGAAATACAGCTCTAAACAAAGGCAGGAGTAGGAAAGTGTTTTGTAATTAGTGATATTCCTGTATCACCCACTGCTGATCCTTTATGGTAGGGAGCTGGGCCATCTGGAAAAGAGGGGCAGGGGAAAAGAACTAGGGGAAAAAATGGTAACAAAAGAGGTGCTGCAAAGCAAGGGATACAGCTAGCACAAAAAAACCCTTGCCCTTGAGAAGAGCTGGGAGCGAAGAGCAAAGGTTTGATAGGAAATGGACTTGGAGCAGGGGTGAGGATGCTTCTTTGTGTCATGGGAAACATGAGTTTGGTCATTTTCTTCAGACCATCAGGTTTATCAAAAACATCTGAAGCAGACAGTAGTCATTAACTTTACATTAACAGCAATTTTAGGGGAGAGAAAGCTGAGAATGGATTGTGCTTTTGCTACAAGTTGAGGTCAAGTAAATCTGAGAGTGATCAAATAAATACTTTTCATTATTTATTTAGAAATTACACCTGAGGGAAACAGTGTCTCTCAGCCTTCAACTGTATGTGATCTTTTCTTGCTGACACTTTCCTTCCCTTGCATTTTGCTCCTGGAGCTGGAGAGCTGGGAGGGCTCCTGTATCCCCCTTTCCTGCCCAGTCATCTCCCACCTCCAGTGGAAGTGCAATTGGGAGTTGGACAGGGAGCTGGCAGAACCAAGAGTGTCCCCAAAACAGCCCTGATGCCCAGGAGGCAAAACTTAATTTTCTTCCCTTTCAGAAGGCACCTTGGATCCTGCAGCAGTTTGGGCCTTGTGTGGTTGGCAGGACAGTGAACAAAGAGAAAACCTGAATTTTTCTGCTTCCTCTTCAGTCTCTCTGTTTCATCTTTGCACAGTGGCTCCTGACATGAGGCTGCCTGGTTAACTCCATGAAGATCCCATTTCTGTTATTTTGTAAAAACTATTTTTTGTTATTTTGGAAAATTTGGGAGCCATGGGTCATGGTTTTCCCTGCTCTTCTTTAAACCTAGGTCTATTCTGTGTGCACCATTATTTAATGTACATCATTGAAAGGGCTTTTTACATTATTTTAGTACAAAAAAGAACGGAGATCAAGGAACTTTGACTTTCTTATTGAAACATACTTTCCTCCTTCTTTTAGAATTTTACAGAAAAGATAGGAGGGTGGAAGGAATGGAACACATTATTTGGTATAAAAACACCTTTCTGGTTTTACCTTTATGGAGATGTAAGCAGTGCTAAACCCAGGCTTGGTCACCTCATTCTGTGAACTCATCTTACTTCTCTCTCTCACAGATTTCATCTCCTCCTGAAAGGAAGATTTTTCCCTACCTAGTTTTAAATGAGCACATTTAAATGGGTCTATTCAAAAGCAGCCCACAAGAACTCTTTTTTCAATATGACCAGCAATGGGATTCAAATCTGTCTGTTTCTCTGTAATGTCAGATTTAACTTACAGATCTTTTGTTAAATTCAGATGGAGCATTTATTTCATTGCAATCTTTCCTTTTTCCAGCTCTCAACTATTAGGGCCCAACTCTGGGAAATGAAGAGCACAAGGCCAAACATAATCTGGTAATGTGCAGGTCTCTTGAAATGTTTGAAGTAGCTGACAGTCCTACTTTTCTTGGACAGTCTTGGAAAAAGTATAATTGATAATGGGTGGTCATAAAATAAATATATGTAAATTAAAAGAAACAAACCACCAGCTTTCTAACTCCTATGTTATGTAAAAATAAGAATGTAGCCTCTCAAGGCCAGAAGAGCCATGAAAGCACTGTACCTTCTCTGTGGACATGAATTTGGTAAGTGTTAAATATCCATATGGTCTGGGAGGGCAACACTGAGATAATAGCCTATGGCAGGTTAGAATGAAAATACGTTCGAAATGAATATTGAATTTTTTTTTTTTTTAAGAAAAGAAAGCATGAATGTCATTGCAAAATTATTACACCCAGCTGATCTACCTTTCACTGTGCCTCAGCTTACCTCCCATCTCCTTCCCCACAGGTAAAAAACCTACAACAGCTACAAGCAAGCGATGTGGGGTTTGGTTCTATCACAGAGAGTATAAAACCTGTCAGTGTTCATGCCCCTGGTACAATCACAGCTGTGAGTCCTTTGGTAGCTCTCTGAAGGCTCAGTCCCTGCCAGCCCCTCCAGCAGCTCCATCAGTGCCCTCTCCTCCTGCGCTGGTTCCTGCTGGGCGCCCTCAGGAGACTCTCCCGGAATTTGGCGCTGCCGTGGAACAGCCGGACCATCTCGTGGTCTTTGTTGTCCAGCACCCTGGGCAGAAAGAGAGAGGATTTCTGTGTCCTGCGGGTCTTGAAGCCCCGGCGGGGTCGCCCCTTGCCGTTGATGGAGAGGTACCAGAGTCTCTCTGCGCTGGCTCTGCGCCGGCTGCCCGCCCGGCCGGGCACGGTCCGGTACAGCCGCGAGGCGTACGTGTTGTAGCCCAGCTCGTGGATGCGCTCCACAAACTCACACTCGGCGTTGTAGCTCTCCTGGGGAGGAAACATGGGGAAAAATATAAATATAGGGGATGTTTTCACCCCCGACAAAGGGGGGAGAATGATGAGGAGGACTCCATCATATAGGAAGGCTAATTAATTACTTTATTATATCATTATTATATTCTATCATATATCATTATATATTATATTATATTATATATAAATATCTAATATAAAAAAGTAAATATATTCTATATTCTATATAGTATATTCTATATACTATATAATATATTATACATTATACATTATACATTATACATTATACATTAATCAATTTATTATACTATTGTTATAAGATATTATATGATATTTTTATTTATTATACTATTTATCCCCGACGAAGGGGAGAGAATTATGAGGAGGACTCCATCTTATCAGAAGGCTAATTAATTGCTTTATTATGTTATATTAATTAATTGCTTTATTATTATATTATATTATATTATATTATATTATATTATATTATATTATATTATATTATATTATTATTCTATACTATTTTACATTACATCTAACCTGAATCTGCCAAGCACTCCACTGCACAGAATCTCGTGACTGTCCCCCAACAATCCTGACACACACACACACACTTGGCCCTGACAGGCCAAGGAAACAAAATCCCATCACTCTGGGTAAACAATCTCCATGTTGCACTCTACTTTGGCACAAACACAGGCAGAGCAAATGAGATTAAGAATTGATTTTCTTTTCTCTGAGGCTCAGAGAATGTGAAACCCAGAAATATTCTTGGGAAGAATTGTGCCTTGCTTTTCTCTGTGAAGAGAAATGTGGTGACAAAAAAATCTTAAGCCAGACTCTCCTCAGTTTTAGGACAAGGACAGGAACACACTTGGTAAGAAAACCCCAGAAGGCAGGAGGGAAGCACTGAGCCTGAGCAAGGTGATCTCTGTCAGCAGTGTGAGCACTCTGTGCACCAGAGACCATAGGGAGCAGCCCCAAAACCAAACTGAAAACAAAAAGGTGGCATGTGAATAGGGGTGAATAGCTCTACTGATTGTTCAGTTGTTCAGCTGCAATTTTTTTATGCGCTTATGAATTTAATGCAGCTGTGAAACTGGACAGATTATTTAATTGCTGCCTATCAACCTCTGCCATCTATTGAAAAGGTAAAATCCTACAGTGTAGTCTAAAGTGTGTCTCTTCAATTTGTGTATTAGTCATTAGAAACACTTGGAGTCTGTTCCATCCAGTTCAGACTGGATATTTGAGCAGTAAAACATACCTTTATGGAGCTTCTTGAAATTTATGAAATTTATGAAATTGAAAGCACGCTCTGCCTACCAGTGTGCTCCTCCAAAATGCCAGGCTGCTCCTTTATCACAAACTGTAAGGCACAATATACACCCATCCCACTTGCTCACATTTCACATGATCTGCCCAAAATTGCCCCTTTTCACCTGCTCCTTGACTGAGAGAGCTCTCTGCAAAAGCCTGGCACGAGGAACTCCTTCCCGCTCCCTGGGAGCAGGAGAACCAGCACAGACAAAGGAGTTCCCACACTGCCCATCCTTCCTTAACTCCAAACCCATCCTTGCTGCACCTGTGGGATTGAGATTTCAGCATCTAAAATGCGTGAAGCACAGAGGCAGAAAGGAACCAGCACCGTGGGGTTTGATTTTTCCTTGTCTGGAGGGCGTGGAAAGGACACAGATAGCCTGAGAAGCCCTAGACCCCGTGAGCAGCCTGTCTTTAGTGCTGCTCACTCTCCAGAAACACTGATGGGGGTTGAACAAGGTTTTAAAGGACTCCACATGTCCTGGATTCCCAGCTGTGCAGCGGAAGCGCCCTCCCTTGCGAGGACAAGGCTCTCAGATGCTGTGGGGCTGGAGCCCACACAGCCACCAGATGTAGGTGGGCTTGTCCTGCTGCCTGCCTCCCTTCTGCCTGGGAAGGGTTTATCGCACAGGATAAATTCTGCAGACTCAACAAACCCATCTTGTTGACGTGGGGAAATGGGTGAAGTGAGGGGTAATGGAGTTATTCTAATTCCATTTCATAAAATGCTCCTTGGATAATTATCCCTGAAATAGTCAGGTTTTTTAAACAGGGGCCTTGCACAGGATCTTGGGCTAGTGATAGCAGTGAAGTCAGGCAAGCAAAGACAAGAAGTTTCTCCTGAGCTGAGCCCTCATCCCTTCCTGCTCCTGTGAAAAAAGCTGGAATGGAGCATCATTCCCTGAAACACAAGCCTGAATCAGCCTCTCTCAAACTTGAGCTGGAAGAGGAAAATTATCTTTTCAAGTTACAGAGAAACCTCCCATGGCTGATGTTCTTTGGCACATGACAGATGAACAAACCAGAGAATGAACAATCAGGAGATGGCCTGATGCTCCTACCACCAGAAAGAGAAATCCAGGAAAAAAGGAGTCTCAGAGCTGTCCTGCTCCTGGCTTTTCTGCACTTTAGGAGAGGAGCTTTTTGCTCAGAATTTGTTTAGTCTTATTTTAATTCAGTGTAAATAATCGGAAGGGAAAACCCCTATTTTGAAGAAGAAAGAGAGAAAGATGAGAAAGAACTTGAAAAAATCATCCTTCCAAATAATTTCTTTGCGGCAGATGCTGGCTCTGAACTGATGGAGGAGGTTCATTGAAAAATATACCCATTTCAATCAGAATATTAACTTCTGCTTAATATTCTGCCTTAACTTTGGCAAGCAGAGCTACCATGCCCTTATTCCTCTTCAGCTGCATTTTCCTTGGCCAAAATCGTTTGCAGTGTGGTTCTCTACAGTAGCAAAGAACACTCATCTTTGCACACAGCCCCCTTAATCAGAGAGCATCACATGAGGCACATTAAAGTAACTGGGTGGTAAACAGTGCCGGAACATTCCTGAAAAGCTGGAGCTAAAGGTGTCAACGTGGGGAGGGACAGAGTTGATTGTGTCACCTAGGCTGGGTCCTCATGGGGAAAGATCACATCCCTCAAGGGTATGCCCTGCTGCCCAAATCAACAGAATTACATCTAATGACTTCTAGGAGGGAGTAAATTTCACCTCCACCATATTTCCCCTTTTCAAACCTGCTTCCATGCCCCAGGATTCATGGGGAAACTGCACAGTTTGGGCTGTCCTGCAGTGAGAGATCATAAGATTGCTGGGATGTAATCAAAGACAGTGGAAGAAATTCAAGCAGGGAGATAAAGTGTGCAGGCACACGCTGACCAAACGTGCCCTGGTATGTGTCCCCGAGTGTGAAAAAGTCTAAGCTGAAGTATTTTATTCACTATGGGGAGATACTGTCTGGGCTGAGGAGGCAAGGCTCCCACTTATATCAGCACACCCCAGATTTTATCTCACAGATTAAGGAAAAAAAATTAGGTTAAAGGAGTAAAATAAGGTGTTTATTTTCACCTTTATCTTCTAGCACCTTCTCCTTTTTGCTTTCCTTGCATAGCCCTGCCTTTTAGTACTGCAAATTCTTCCACTGCCCAGCCATAAGCTCTGTGCAAGGAAACTCCCATCAGGAGGCTGCTTTCCTGCAGCACCAATGCTCAGTTACTTGTGGACTCTCTTTACCTGGCCTGTCTCTGCTGCCATCCAAGATCCATATAAAACACGGACAATTCTGACATTCCACATACCTGCAGCTGTCCAGGCAGTAAGAAGGTAAGAACACTGCTTTTTCCCCACTTTTAAGAATACACTCACTGGTTGGCTGTAAGAATTCCAGGCACTGATTTTATAAGAAATCAGTGCTCCCCACTAGACCCGTTCCCCCCCACAGGAAATGACAGGCCAGGCCTCAGTAAAACTTACTGATGCATAAAGTCTGCCCCTCTTGTTCATGGCCAGGTATCTGCCAGAGAACAGGCCCTTGATGGCAACGATTCCAACATCCACAGCAGTTATCTCCAGAATACCTTGAAACAGAATCAAGAGATGTGTTACTGCTCAGGTGCAATTTTTTGAGATGCATTTGCATGGCTGCTTACCTGAGGAGTGTGATCTCACAGCTACCACTTGCTCACACAAGAATCAGGGCAATCACATGAATGAAATTATTATTATTTGAAAGAAATTATTATTATTTGAAACTATACAAAGCAAGGATGATGTGGGAATTGTTCAAGACAAGGTGGACAAGAAACCCCAAGATGTCTGATTGAGATTGAACTCTTTCAAAAATGAAAAAGATCCGACACTGAACTAGAGGTTCACTTAATCCTATATGTGCATAAAAAGCTTTACATCCCTTTTAATGCTTAGGAACACAAGAGCTCTTGACTTATTGAAGCCAGTCACAAGCTGCCCATTTCAGGACAAAGCCCTTGCTGAGGTCTCCAGAGGGTGAGCCTGAGCAAGGCTGCCATGAACATAATCATGAAAGGCTCTTGAGATTTAGGAAGGCAGTGCTGCCCTCCAGACAAGGGCTGTATGACTGTCTGAGACAAGTTAAAAGGGAGGACGTTTTCAGGCCATCCAACACGGGATCCTGCAACACCAGAAGTGGTGCAACACCTGCCCAAATGTCCAGCCAAAGGTGCCAGGACACCCATGGAGGCACAGATGACCCAGAGGATGCTGTTTCATGTGCATGGCTCTCCATCAGGCTTGCTCAGACCCTGCTCTCAGCTCTCCAGCCACATCCTGACGGTTCTGTACTTTCTATGAGCGCTTGAGAGTGAGAGGTGACCCTGGCACCCAAACCCCCTGCTGCCTTAGGGGAAGCCTGAAGGCAGAGCTGGGTTCCAAGTCCCGTGTGCAGAGCTGGATTGCTGGGAGCTCTGGGAGAGCTGGGCTGGGTTTGGCACAGCTGGTTTGAATCAGGCACCGGTTGGCCGCTGAAGGATGCCTTCTCCGGGCCGTGACAGCGAGGGGGGACTTCTCTAGGAAATAGTGGTTTTCCTTTATGGACTTCAGACGCATCCCTGAGGTCTCCCTATCTCTGTGTGCCATCACCGGGCGGGATTTGCGCATCCTGGGGCGGCGGGGACTCCCCCGGTGCTGAGCCCCGCTCTCCTCCCTCCTGCCGCCCTCGCACAAACCCCCTCGCTCCCGACAGATCCGCTTTCATGCTAATTACCGCCGCTGCCCGGCACATGTCACAGGGACAGATGTGATTTAGCCCCCG